TAGCGGCAGTTTTCTTAGGTTATATACTACTTCTGTTTCCCAAATCTTAACTTGGAGTAGTTCAAAACCTTTAAGCATATAATCTTCATCTATCTTTTCATGCATATAGATTTTCTTTCTTCTTTAGAATAAACCTGGATAAACACAAATGAGAAAACTACAGCCTTATAAAATGTGATTATCTTTGTTTCCTATAGCCTAGCCTATCCACATACATTAAAGGATTATAAAAGTTATGATTTTCCACTTGTATACTCTTAAGACAGTTTTCAGTTAGTGACACTGGTGAATGAGTACTCCTGCCCTTGAACAGGAGGAAAAAAACTTGCTCGTAATGCCTACAATTCTCCGTGTATGGAAAATGTTAAATTGTTCTTGTAACTAAAGGAAAGTCAGAAATTCCCCCATAAAAGGTGGTGATTTATAAGCAAAAGAGAAGTTTAATCATGTGGCAAAGCTAATATTAACTTAACCAAGCCACTATGATTTAGGTGCAAAGCCATCATTGGAAATGTGTCGAAGCAAAGTGAACAGACAATAATCTGAGGCTGTATTTTGTTCTTTTCTACTCAACCCAGTAAACAAAAGATGAATGAGGGAGTATTACGGGAAAAGCCCTGTCCTAGGGCTGGATACATTGGCAACTCTTACAGACCTTTTACAAAAGCATTACCTTATGTATACTCTTAAGGTCAGGTTCCAAAATCTTAGTACTGTTAATGTTTTGGACAAAAATATTCACTGTTGTCAGTGGGTGATTCTCTGCATTGTAGGATGTTTAGCAATACCCCTGGCCTCTATCCACGAGAGACCAATGGCACATCATGTTCATTCACATGACCACACACAAACTAGTCCGATTAACACTCTCAGCAGCCCTGGGTACTCCTATTACATTTCAAATATGAAAACCGAGGCTCGAGGAGGTTAAATAAATAATAAAAGATCATGTAGTGGAGAAGTCCTAGAAGCCAAATCCAAATTATAAAATCCAGCCTCTTGGCCACATGTGATGCTGCCTCCCATTTTACCGAAGAAGGATACTGAAAAACTCAGAGCTGAAGAGGGAAACCAGAGACAGGATTAAATGGATTCATAGTCAGAAGACGTTTGGATCTTTCTGTAAAGGAAGTTGTCAGATGAAGAAAAGCAAGGAGCTAGGGAACAGCATGTTGTATCTGAGGACTTGTACAAGATTTCTCATCTATAAACTAAAGACTTGACCAGGTAATCTCCAAATTTCTTTCAATTCTACAATGCTATACTGCTGCAGTTTGTATTATACTCTCCCACCCCCGGTGCATAAAACACCTGTGCATAAGATACTCCCCAGTGGCTTCCCTGTGGAATTAGTATAAAATCCTTTCTTGGTATCATTGTCTGCAAGGCTCTGCAGGCTGTAGCCCCTGACTGTCTCTGACTTCACTACTTGTCTGTTCTTCCTCAATCACCATGCTCCAGTCACAAGCTTTTTGTTCTAGAATCTTCCTTTCTCAGGGCCTTTATACTTGCTGTTTCCTCTGCCCAAAATGCCCTTCCCCAGATCTTTTTTTAGTGGTTCCTCAAATGCACTTCCTTCCATAGGTTTTCTATAACCACTGCATCTAAAGTAGGACTTCCTCACTCATTATTCTTTACCTCATTCCTGTTTTACTTTCTTCATATGAATTATCAGTATTGGAAATTTATTTTTGTTGTGTGTGTGTGTGTGTTTTTTTGGCCATTTATTGTATAGTACCCCCACCCACCCCATGTGAACTCTGTGAGGGCAGGGATCATGTTGACCTGGTTCATGGCTGTACCCCTTGTGCTGATGCCTGACACATAACAGCACTCAGAATGATTTGTTGAGAGAATGAAGACATGAGTCATCCTGTGTAGCCCACCTGGCACAGAGAAAACATTAAGCACAAAATAAGAGCTGAGAAACCTGTAATGGTAGTAATGATAACTAACATTAATCAAGTTCTAACTATTGGCACTAGGTTAAATCCTTCACATGCATTATATCATTTTAGTCCTCACCACAACTGTATGAGGTGGGTATTATTATTATCCTAGTTTTATAGATGAGTACACAGAATCTTAGCACAATCAAGCAATTTGCCCAAAGTCACAAAGCTAGTAAATTAACTCAGATTCAAAGCCAGTCTAATTTCAGCACAATGTTATTTGCTAATTGTAATCTGTAACACATTTATGAACTTCTGCAAAATGAAACTGCTATTACATCCATTTGGATTTTTCGAAGTTTATAATTTCAAAGAGTACTATGTGAGTAGCTACTATATGTATCCTGGGACTCAGGCTATGTAAAGGGTGCTAGGTGCCTAAGATACAGAGATAAATAATGTGATACAGTGCCCAACTTCAGAAGGCACGGTTTAAGAAGAAAAACATAATATAAGTGTGGTAGAATCGACATCTCCATGACCCAAACCCTCCTACACACACACACACACACACACACACACACACACACCCCTCATGCTGCTGGAGACTCATTCCTCCTAAATGTTTCCCTTGCACCTGGCTCAGGTGTTTAATTTTGCATTCCTTACATTACAGTCTAACTGCTTAGCACTGTCTAGGAGGAACTGGACAGCCATGATTTACTGAGTGCCTACACATGGCAGGTGATTTTTTATGACAATGAGTTGGGTGTCATTATTTCTGCTTTACAAATGAGCAGTCCACAGCTTATATGGTCATTGGATTACAACGAAATGATTACAATAGAGTGTCTGATTACAATGCAGAATTGCCAATAATAGGATAGAAGGATGTGTGTGCAAAGACCTATGGGAGCCCCAAGAAGCAAGTGGCTCTTGGCCTCCATAGATAGTTATTTATTTTTATTTTGCTTGAGACAGAGTCTTACTGTTTCCTACTCTGGAGTGCAGTGGCATGGCTCACTGCAGTCTCGACCTCCTGGGCTCCAATCTGCCCACCTCAGTCTCCTAAGCAGCTGGGACTACAGGTGCACATCACCATGCCTGGCAATTTTTTTATTTTTTGTAGAGACAGAGTTCTGCCATGTTGTCCAGGCTGGTCTTGAACTCCTGAGCTCAAGCGATCTACCTGCCTTGGCCTCCCAAAGTGCTGGATTACAGGTGTGAGCCACTGAGTCCAGCCCCAGATATTTCCTTTAACACTATAATTGTAACAAATATGAAGATGTCTGGCTTTTTATTAGCTTTTTAATTAAATATTTAATAAATCATCTATATCTCACTTTGTAAAATATTTTAACAGTATCTTTACATTTTTTGAGAAAAAGCAAATATTTTTTTCTTTTTACATTTTTGCTAGGATTAATAATATGTTAGAAGCTTTTTTATTATAATAATTGGAGCACAGACTTTAAGATATTTTTTATATTACATTTTCCTGATGTACTGGCTGAATTTTTTTCCCCCTGGGGCACAGAAAAGTACTTTTCTTTTCTTTCTTCTCAAAGGACTTTGCAAAGCCCCTTGCAGCTACTGTCAGTTCCTTTCCTTAGGATTATTCTGAAACGAACAAATCCTTCCCTCTAACAGAAACATAGGTACATAATAAGATAAGCACTTTACTTATTTTAACAAATCCAGTATTAGAATAGTTTTTTGCAGCCCGTGAATCATGACAGCCTGCTAAGACTGCCTTCAGTAAAATAAAGTTAGATTGGGACTGACTGATGTGAACACACAAAGTTAACTCCATTATAAAAACTGATCAGAAAAAAAAAATAATGCTAAGTCAACCAAAACCTGGTACTGTAATACCAAAACGTTACTAAAAAATTTAGATTGCTTCTGAGTATCCAAAGGTGAGCTCTCCACCTTGTGGTAAGCACGTGACACTCTCCCTAAAGCAGCTCTTTGGGGAGGGCCTGCTCCCTCTGAGAATTAATTCACTTTCCAGAAGTGAGAGATAAGGGAAAATTCCCATAACAAGAATCCATTTGGTGAACTGCAGTTTAGCAGTTTAGCAGTGTTTGAAGTTTTACACATATTTAAGAATCAAACATGCTCTTACTACATCCTTCTTAGGAAAGCCACAATCCAGTTTCATGGAAAATGAAAGACAAGGATTCTGGCTGATCAAATAGCCTAGCTCCCTTCACAGAATCCTGAGAACCTGAGAACCCACTCTACATTGATAAACTTCCCACTCAGTTCTTGGCACCTATCAATGTCATATCTCAGGGCCAAGTGAAAAGTCTCACAGCAACCAAGTTAATATTTGAAAATTATATAAAAATCAAAATTACTTCACTGGGCCCCAACAAATACAATGCATCTACAGAGGCACAAATAAAAGGTTCTCCTTTGCTACAAACTCCATTTTGTAATGGTCCTAAAAATTTAAAAAGTTTATTGCTGCTTTCTTGCCTAAGAATTCCCTGTGACATCAACCCAAAACCTACATAAGCAGAAGTACCCAATTTTCTAAAGTCTTAGAACAAGAACAAGTAAGTCTAAACATGAATTATATTTGGTTGCATAAAATTGACTGATAAATAGTAAAGAGTAATTTTGAGAGCAATATTGCAAAAATGTGCACTAATAACTTATCCTTTTATTTATCTATGTATTTTCAAATATAAGTAATGTGATGTCAAGACTGACACAATCACATTAAACTATGTCCTGCTTCCCTGGCTGTAATTCTAATACTATCTCCCTCAAAGATTGCAGAGACCACAGAACCGAACTCTTTAACACAAACCCCCAAAATTTTTGTGGCAAAGTCCCTTGCAGGAAATGAATTCTGTCTATACTTCAAAACAGAGTCACTAACCCATTGGGCCCTGTAAGCACAGTGCCTCAGGTCCACAATCCTTTTAGATGCCCAAGAAAAGGTTTCCTTTTAAAATAAGAACAACAACAACAACAACAACAAAATAGGTTTGGGTCAAAGAAAATGTTTAAATTTATAATATTAAGATATTTATCTTTATGTCAGTATAGTTATAAATGTGTTTGTGTGTTTATGAAAAAGGGACCCACCAAGGTGAAATGCCACAGGACCCATAAAAGCCATAATGCTAGCTGGCCTCAAAATGTCCTTCCTATTAAACTATTTTGAATGATTCCTAGGTGTGCCAGATGCCAAGGAATCTTTTCTTGGCCAGCCGGGGAACTTCTCATGTCTTTGGAAGAAATTATCTTTTACTAGATGCTTCTGAGAAAAGTGATTTGCTAAAAGTTTTGGTTATTTTAAATCAATATGTACTCAACTAGGACGTCTCCTCACCCACGTTAATTTTTTAAAGAGAAGGAAAGTAGAAGATGAGCACTTCATGTGAGGCTCTGCCAGCCTACGAGGAAATGCAATCCTCCAGGCTCGCCCGAGCGTGGGCTGCGGCAGAGAGGACCCTGGCGCCTCTGTCTTGCTTTATTCCACGGCGGTGCAGCAGAGGGCGCGTGGCTCTCAGCGCTCAGTGCAGCGCGCTCCCCGCGCCTGAAGGATCGTATCCCTATTTGCCCCAAGGTCATAGCTCCGAACTAGCTTGCCAGCCCCAGGCCGGGGAACCCAGAAAGGGTGCCCTTCGGGCTGGAGACCCCGGCGCAGGTGGGGCGGGAGGGCTCCGGGGCCAGGAGACAGATCACAATGGGGACAGGGGATGATAGGCGCCAGGGGCCCGGGGCCCGAGCCGTCCCCGCCGCCGCCCGAGAGGGGGATGGGGTGCGCGTAGACGCTCCGCGGCCCCAGTCGGACGGAGGAGCCCAGGAGCCACCGCAGCCACCGCAGCCGCCGCGCGCCTAAACCGAGAGCGCCGAATCTCGCTGCCAGCTCAGGACACCCGGGCCGCGGGCCGAGGGGAACCGGGCAGCGGGAGAGGAGCCCCGGAGCCCAGCCGAGCGCCGGCCGAGAGGGCGTTTTCCCCGCCCCCGGCGCCCGGCCCGCCCCGAGCGCCGGGAGATCACCTCCGCCCGTCACCTCCTCCCCTGTCGCCCAGGTCCACCCGGGCCCCCTCCCCCGGGCCGCCCCCGAGCACGAAGTTGGCGGGAGCCTATAAAAGCCGGTGCCGGCGCGACCCGCGGACACACAGTGCAGGCGCCCGAGCCGCCGCCGCTAGACCGGTGCCGATTCCTGCCCTGCCCCGACCGCCGGCGCGACCATGTCCCATCACTGGGGGTACGGCAAGCACAACGGTGAGTGCCGGCGGAAGCCGGCGCGGCGGAGCCCGGAGCGCCGAGCCCCGAGCCCAGTTGCCGGCCCGGGGCCCGCAGCGCCCGCACCTGCTGTTGACCGCGGCCGCGGGGAGCGCTGGAGACTCAGGTGCGCCCTGGACGCTCGCTCAGCCCTCGGCTCCCCCGCGCCGGGGATTCCCCCCTCTCCCCAGCTGCGAGGCCACTGTCGAGGAATCCCCGCGTCCGCCCGAGGCGCGCAGGACCCGAGAGAGGGGAGACGCAGCGTGGCCGCGGGATCCGAGGACAGTCCCTCCCGGTTCCCGAGCCTGGAATCGTTTTAACCGGACGTAGGAAGAGGCGGGGAAGGGTTGTAACGGAAAATTCTAGTTGTTGATCGCAGAGAAATTAAGAGGCCCCCTTCCCCCGCCCCCCTACACACTCCTCCAGCTTCAGCACCACCTGTGGCTAAGGCGCTGATTACCAGCTGTCCCGGGGCATTTTCCGGTGCTGGTTTGAATCCATAACACTGATTTCCGAGTTTTTCCGTCGGGCACCAAGAATTGGGTTTTATCTTGGCCTCAGATCTGGTTCTCTGGAGCCAGCGGAGCAGAGAGGCACGCGTCTGGCGCAGCTTGCGCATCTTTGGAGGGGTGTGGGGCTTCCCAGGTAGTGGCGACCCTGTGGGTTAAAGGAGCGGTGGGCCCGGGCCTGGGCGGTGAGGAAGGGATCCGGACCTGCTTGAATGTCTTAAGTGAGCTTGCATATCCCAAATCCCAACCACAAGTCCTGACGTTAGTGTCTGCCCAAGTTCAGTTGCTGAATTTCAGTAAAACGATCATTAAAATAGCTAATATTTATATGGTACTCAGTGATCTAAGAGCTTTACCTATATCTATTCTAATTCTCACAGCGACATTTATGAAGTAGATTTCTAATTATACCATATTACAAATGTAGAAACTGAAGCACAGATTACGTGTTTTCCCAAAGTTTACCCCACTTTGGAACTGAGCAGCCTAGCTCCAGAATGATTGCTCTTCTCTAGGGGTCTGGGTGTAACTTTCCCCACAGTGAAGGATTCACATGCCTTGTCTTCTTTTCCCCAGGACCTGAACACTGGCATAAGGATTTCCCCATTGCCAAAGGAGAGCGCCAGTCCCCTGTTGACATCGACACTCATACAGCCAAGTATGACCCTTCCCTGAAGCCTCTGTCTGTTTCCTATGACCAAGCAACTTCCTGGAGGATCCTCAACAATGGTCATTCTTTCAACGTGGAGTTTGATGACTCTCAGGACAAAGCAGGTCAGTGTTTAGAAAACAGCCTGTGTCTTTTAGCCTGTAGCTGTTTTCCAAGCTTAATGAAGGAGCCAGGAACAGTGGTGGGAACCCTCTTAATAATACAGTTTGTCTCAGGACTCAAGGATGCCATGCTGATCATCTTCATTAGGTCTCAGATTCTGAGAAGTAGGCTAATTAGTTGGAAGTGTCCTGGGGCCGTTTCTCCCCTGTAAAATTACTGGCTTCTATGTAGGGCATTGAATAACTGCGATATAGCTGTGAAAAGTCACAAAAGGCAAAGTCTCCTAGCAATAAACATCAGTAATGATGAGATTTGCACTAATTGAACTTTTAAGATTGTAAAATATTTGTCTTCCAGAGCTGATGTGTGTCCGTTAAAAAGTATATCTTAGTGAGCTTTATCTTTAAGGTAGCATCGAGAAGAGTAACGAAAATGTGCCAATTTAAAATACTGAAATTCTTGGAAAATGTTATACTTCTGAGTATTTCTTAGTATTGGGCTAGTGTGATAAAGATGGCAGCATATTTTGATATCTACTCGGAAACTCATTCCACAAATGAAGATGTTTTAGAGTTGGTGGACATACCTGGCCCATTACTGACAAAACTTATTGCCATCTTTATTTGTAATACAGCTGTTTACAGGATGCTCACTGAAAAAAAACAGAGAGAGAGAAAAAAAAAAAAGAAAGAGAAAAGAAAAAATGCTGCTTTAAAAAAAAAATCTCTCTTTTGAAACGAGAACAATCCCATTCAGACATAGTAACTGCCTTCTTCACTCAGCAGTTAATTTAATTGCCAGTGCCCTATTTTCCTGAGTGCTTTTCTCTAAACGTCATTGAATGAAATGGTGCTGCAAACATTCTGTTTGGTGATGGTGTGGGAGTGAGGAGAGTGGTGGAACAAAATGAGAAAGTTTTGGAGTAGTGACCTATGCTACTAATATATTATATAACATGTAATCATAATCATTTTAGTCAGGTTGACTCTTCTTTGTCAGCAGCTATACAATATAGTCAGCTCAGTTTTGAAAATAAAAATTTTCCCTCCTTTCAACTTTAAAAAAATGTATAAACATCTGGCTTTCTGAAATGGTGATTCTGGAAGACAATTCAATGGAAGGATAATATGGAGGTCATATGAGAAATGTTTTCAACCTACCTGTGACTGCCTGTGTGCACCCCTCACTGGTACACACATACACACATACACACACATGCTCACTCTGGCATTGTATCATGATTTATTAGAATCAAGTAAAGGTACATTGAAGAGAGTTCAGTGATTCTGCTACATTGCTTTCCCAAGCATTCTTCTCACTCCAAAGAAACAGGTCTCATTTAATTAAACAATTTTTTGTCTAGTAAAAAATACTGTATATTGGCTGGGTTCGGTGGCTGTAATCCCCGCACTTTGGGAGGCCGAGGTGGGCAGATCACCTGAGGTCGGGAGTTTGAGACCAGCCTGACCAACAGGGAGAAACCACATCTCTACTAAAAACACAAAATTAGCCAGGCGTGGTGGTGCATGCCTGTAATCTTAGCTACTCGGGAGGAGCAGCCTTGGGACGCTGAGGCAGGAGAATCACTTGAACCTGTGAGGCAGAGGTTGTGGTGAGCTGATTGCGCCATTGTACTCCAGCCTGGGCAACAAGAGTGGAACTCCATCTCAAAAAAAACAAATACTTGTATTTATAACACAAGGCCAAAGGTCTCAAGGTATTACACATACAGAAAGTATACCATAAAATTTCATGTTTAGTCATTTAAAAACAAAAGAAAGTGAGCTAGTTTAGTCTGTAGCTGTACCTTTTTAAAGAGCCACAGTGATGTCATTGTTTTCAATGATGTAATGTCTACCAAAGTGTGTATCTCATTGGATGCTACATAGAAATTGGATGCTTTAGTCTTTTTTGGAACAATGAATAAATAAATCTCCAACAAATGAAAGCAGATGAGGTTCTTTATAGTCCTTAAAAAATGGATAGTGAAATAAATTATTCCAGTAATATATATTACTGTAAAGTGGGTTTCAGTATATGGTCTGGTGGTTATCTGCAGAGTCTGGAGTCAGGGAAAGCTGGATTTGAGTTCTGGCTTTGCCGACGACTAGCTCAGAGACTTTGGGAGTAATACTGTCTAGGTTTTAGTTGTTTTAAACTGTAAAGTTGGAGTAGCAATAGTATCTGCCACAGTGGAAGGATGAAGTGGGACAGTATATGTAAAGCACCTTGCCTAGTGCCTGGCACATAACAGTTCCTCAATAAAAGACCTCTGTTGTTGTCACAACTGTCACAACTGTCAATCCTTCGACTGTCTCTGTTAGACAATTGCTGTAGATGTTTTACTGAGATAAGATTTCTGAATAAATTTTTCCTTTAATAGCTTTGAGATTAATTCCCTTCATTTGATGGTATTTTAAAATTTAATTTTACATTTTCTGAAACATGCTGTGTATCATACTGAATATGTACTTATTTTATGTATGAAGTTATTATATAGTTATATTTTTTACCATGAATCTGTTAAACTTTGATGGATTTCTCCATAAGCAGTAACTAATTAGATCTAGCTACATTTTTCCCAGCTATTTCTTCTGGAGAGTAATGCATACATTTTTAAAGAAGTTGGCCATGTTTAGATTGTGAAACAGATGAAAACCACGGGGTTTAGATAGGAGATCCCACCCAGGCCTTTAGAGACACATGTATTATCCACCTAGTTCTTCTACAGAAAGTCATTACTAACACTAACTAAATGCATGGTAAGGTAAGCATCATGAAAGCTGAGCGGAGGCCTGGTCCCTCTCCTGTTCTCAAGAGCCCATGCTGGAAATACCTAAAGTAGAAAGACATGGAAATAGTCGACCCTGACTGCTACTTCGGTAAGTGCAGAAAGGAAGTATTCCATGGAAACGTGAAGGAGGCTTAACAGTCTAACTGCATAGACTGGAAATACATAACAGGAAAGACTTTCCAGGGTAAATAAAGCTTATGTTCAGGCTTGAAGGATTTTATTTCTTGGATGAGAGTCCAGGCAAAGGGAAATAGGAAATACCAGGGGGCTTAAGAGAGCACAGTATGTGTGCTAGAAAGGCAAGAAGGTATACTAAAAGCAAGGGTCAGGAAGGACTTGCCCTCCTTTATAGGTGAAAGATTCCTTTGCAATTTTACTTATCTATTCCACATTTTCAGTTACATTAGTTAAAAAGGATGCAGAATATATTAAAATGTCAGTATTAAGGAAAAAGATATCAACAGAATAAATTTTGAGAAATCATACCATGTGGGGAGCCAGCCTCAATGGCTCATGCCTGTAGTCCCAGCACTTTGGGAGGCCAAGGTGGGTGGATCACTTGAGGTCAGGAGTTCAAGACCGGCTTGGCTGATGCCATGAAACTCCATCTCTACTAAAAATACAAAAAATTAGCCGGGTGTGGTGGTATGCTACTGTAATCCTAGCTACTCCAGAGGCTGAGGCAGAAGAATCGCTTGAACCCAAGAGGTGGAGGTTGCAATGAGCAAAGACTGCTCACTGCACTCCAGCCTGGGTGACAGAGTGAGACTCCGCACCTCCCCCAAAAAAATCATATCATGTGGAAAAACACTCTTTATATATATATATATATATTTCTTTTTAAATAAAACAATCCTAGACTCTCAAAGCCAGAACAAAGAGTAGAGATACTCTGGTTAAACCCACTTAAAATAAACATGAAGAAACAGAAGCCGAAGCGTTTAAATAACTTACTCAGTTGTCTCCTTGCTAGTTTGCTGGAAGGACTAAATAGCAATCACTTAAAGATAGAATTTGAATAAGAATATTTGAAGGATAACCATATTTAATATTTAGTTTGTACATGCCATGCTTTTAAAAAACTGGCATTCTTTTCTGTACACTTAAGTCAAAAAGTTGTTTACTTTAGTCAATTTTCAAAAGTCAACAGTTTAACATCTGTATTAGGAGTTATTTTTGTGGTGATAACCTTTTTAGATGTCCTGTGTCTCTTATTTCCTCCATTTAAATGCAGCTTATTTACCTTTCTTTTTTGCCTCAATGATATTTCAGCCTTCTAGAACTTCTCATAGATAGACATTTTCCAATATGCTTTAAAAATTCTCTTTTATCCAAACTTAAGTACTTGGGTATCAGAAACTGAGCAGGTTGACTTTATTGCTGATTTCAGCTTGAAAGAACTTTTTGAAACTGTGGAGTTAATAGAATTTAACTAGAAGCTTGGGTTAGAGCTCTCATCAATCTTCTAAATTCCTTTGAAAATAAGCCACCTTAAATTCACCTTAAGTTAATGAAAAATTGCTAATCCTTTTAGGTTTTTAAAAAACTTATTAAAAAATAACTCTCCCTGCTCGAGATGTTTTATTAATGGCCTTATCTGGGAGAAAAGAATAGTAGTCAAATTATTAACTCCTGCTAACTTATTAACTTTTATTAAGGAGTTTAATACTGTCCTGCTTTCTTGCAAAGTTAGGGACAAATATTGATAGCCAATGCCAGAATTATTAAGCCAACCCTTATGTAAGTCTTACATAATTTCTGTTTTTTAGAAATTAGAATTTTTTTTAACTGTTTGTTACTTGAAGAAAAGAGTGAAGGAAGCTGGATGAGTTTACCTGTGCTCATTTTAAGTGACCCATTGTCTGTATAACATAATGGATCTTCATACATGGATCCTGCTTGACTTTCGGGGACTTGCTTTTGAAGCTTTAAAAGTTTTCTTCTGCAGCAGTCCTAAGTTAAAAGAAACAAACAAATGAAACAACAAATGAAAGGGCTTGCCATGCACACAGTTAATGGTGTCAGCAGAACCCTAAATATTTAGGAACCGGACCAGCGTATTCTAAACACTGTAGGTAATGATAGTTGCATCAAAATGTCTTCTTTTTGTGCTCCTACACATTTGCCATGTAGCTTAAACTACAACTTCTGTTGAATTTCGACTGTTTACTCTAACGAAAGTGACAGCTAAATGTCTTATTGCTTTAAAATAAATGGAATACGTGTATCTTTGTTCCAAGATTTGTCTAATCCTAAGGCACGTAGCCCTAGAATTATTGGCTGTTGCCAACGGGCAAAACAGTAATGCATGATATTAAAATGTTCAGGTTATTTATAGAAAAAAATGGTTCTGAAAATGCCATGTTTTCTCTAGAATTAATCATTTGCTTCATTAAAGGGAATTCACTTAGATTTTAGTTTTAAACTAAAGATTATTGAGAATAGTTTATTTATATTTTGGACTTAAGAGAAACTGTTGACATTCATTAAGGTCTTTAGTCTGTTACTTCAGTGCATCTTAATTTAGTAGGAAGTGATTAGGGAGAAAAAATGAAAAAATATTAAATTTTCAGTTTTTAATTTGTATAATAATGTGATTCATTTCAATATTATTGGAGCTCTTATTTTTCACAAAAAGCAATTCATATGATTTCCTCAAATAATATGTATAGGAAGACAGATTATTCTGTAATATTACACTTAGTGTTTGGTTTGTGTTATTGGCAGAGTATGTATAACTGATGACAGATCATGAAAATTAAATTGGCTGGAGCTCTTGGTGTTGAGATTCGAATTTTAATTAAATATGAGGGGTCTTGAAAAACATTAGAGTAGAAAACTGTACTTGTCTCCATCTCTTATGGAATACATTTCTGGGGCACAATAAACCATTAACTCTTTCAAGCACCACTGCTATGGCTGGATTTTACAGAGAAAATATATGAGGTCAGCAATTTCTGTTATTTTTTAAACATTATTTTTACATTAGAAAATAGATTTCCTTTTAAACTGCAACCATTTAGAAAATGGCATGTAGTCATTTAAATAAATAAGTAGATCCAGAATATAGCATGAAGTCCCTAACTTAAACCAAAATGTTATCTTTTATGTTTCTCAAATAAAAAGTTTGAGTTTATAGCAATTTACTATAACAATGTTTTTGAAGGAATTCATTGACTACACTCCATGCTAAGAGTTTGCCAGAATTGCTGCCTCCTGTAGCAAGTAAACTTTAAAGATTTAATAACTTTTTCTAGTTACAGTGGGTTTCTAATCTTCTATAGCAACAAGTTTTACTTTAATAGGGGCTAAAACAGGTATCTGGTGATAATAGATTAGCACTGAATGTGTTTAATCATTGAGCCCAGAGCATGTTTTTTGTTTTAAGTGTTAGCTGTTAGCAAGCATTGTTTAATAAAAGTTTGCACATGCTCTTGCCTAATTCTAAATGTTCTTAGAAATAAATAAAGTAATATGAAATTTTAAGATTTGTAAGAGAGAGAATAAGAGTAAGAAATAGCAATAAATTTTATTCTCTTTAAAATGTAAGATCCTGCTATGATTCTTCATTGGGGAGAAAAAAGATACATTTAAAAAATTGGTTATCTCAGATACTTATATGATTTTATTTAATTAGTTTTACCACTTAGTAGAATTAATGATGTTACAAATTGATAGCTTTAAAGAGTTGTTATGAAGGATTTTTTCAGTATTAATTTATTTTATAAACATTTATTTTTAAGGGTATATTATTAAAAAAAGGGATTTTTTTCCATTTTTTTTAAAAGTCTAGAATTAGAGGCTAATATTTCCATATAGAATTATCAGGAAACAAATAAACTGTTATAATAAGTTGTGTTTGTGTTCCAAGAGGTGTGACTTTGTTGTAATACATCCAAATTCATGTTTCTTAGCAGATCTGTAACATAACACCATTTATCATTCTTTCTGTTTTCATTCTCCTTTTTTTCTTCTGGCCTATTAAAGCAGATCTGGCAGCCAGAGGTTGCTTTGGGAACCATAGAAAGGCCGCACAGCTTAAATATCTTCACAGAAATCTTTAACTTTGAATAGATGAATGGGTGTTGCTACCATGTAAGCATATTTAGGTGAAACTCAGTGAAAAAATCTTGTTGTACAGAAGTTATCCCTTTGTAATGAGCCAAAGTAATTTTGGGCTCATTATTTTATGGAATTATATAGTAAAGCTAACAAAATACATTTACAGAAACAGATGTTTAAATTTCAGAAAAATAAAATATAAATTGTGGAACCAAACTACTTTTAAAAGCTTTTGAAAATATTGGTCAAATCCAATTAATACATATAAAGTTAGGTACTAAGTTTCTTGGTGGATGGGAGAAAGAGTGATTTCACACTATTTTAATCCTCTGTCAAGACACAACTTAATAATTATGTACAGTTGGTAGCCCAAGGATGTGATTTTTATTACTCATTTTGCTTAACAAAGTTACATTAATGGCAGAATAGCGGAATCATAGTGTAACTGGAGCAGGGTGCAGGGGCTTAGCTCCCTCCCCGAGCTCGCCAAAGATATAACCTGGGGACGGGAGCAGAGCTGCGGGGAAGTGTCCCAAAGAACACTTCCAGTTCTCGGATTCTATGTTCCCCTGATGTGCCCAGGTCCTTGGCCTCTCTTGCCCCAGGAATGGGGAAAAGGGCCCCAGAGGTGCACTGAGCTTACTGTTTGCATAAATATCGTAGACCCAAAGAGGTTTACAAAGAGCAATTTATTAGGCAGAGAGAGAGAGAAAGAGAGAGACGGAGAGAGCTCTCACGCTGCCATGGGAGGGGATCCAGGGGAGGAATCCCTTTAGGTAAAGAGCAGCGGGTTTTTAACCTTGGAGTTATTCCCGTCCTATTCATGTTCTCATCCAATGAGAGGGGTTCTTTTAAACTTCCTCTGGAGTGACTGATCTTCGACTTTGATACTGGATTGGCTGTCCGGCCCACAATCAGAGCCCTCTCCTCTCAGGCTTTGTCGGGTAGGGGCTTTTTGGAACAAATAAGCTCATCTGGAATTTCTACCTATCCTGTGGGGGAAAGTCAGACAGAGAAATTTACGTTTGGGATGGGGAAGTGGATAGAGGCAGGGTGCTGGAAAATTCCTGCCTTTGAAACCACACCTCTTGTGGACTTGGTTTTCCTTAACACAGCCCCTCAGTAGGATAGTTATCGAGTTAGAATTTTAAGTTCTTGGAGATAATAGAGCATGTTACACTGCATATAGAAGATGATCCATAAATTATTAATGAAATGTTAGTGATTTAGTGTATCCACTTTACAGATGAGTGAATTAAGGTCGAAAGGCTTAATAAAAATTTTTGGCCAGGTGTGGTTGCCCATGCCTGTAATCCCGGCACTTTAGGAGGCCAAGGTGGACAGATTGCTCAAGCTCAGGAGTTCCAAACCAGCCTGGGCAACAAGGCAAGACTCTGCCTCTACTAAAAATAGAAAAATTAGCTGGACCTGGTGGTGCAAACTTGTAGTCCCAGCGACTTGGGAGGCTGAGGCACGAGAATCACTTGAACCCGGAGGTGGAGATTGCAGTGAGTTGAAATCGCACCACTACACTCCAGCCTGGGCAACATAGCAAGACTCTGTTTCAAAAAAAAAAAATTTAGAGAACAAAGCTAGCCAGCAGCAGTGACAGTCTGTTCACTGTTTGAGCTGCCCTCTAAACAGTGGTAATGGAATGGAGAAAGGTCTGGGCTGGAAATATATGAGCTCTGATTCACATGTTGAGGTGGAAGCTGCAGGTATCTATGAAATCATTCAAATATAGCAGGAAGAGCGAGTTGAGAAATCTGCCCAGGGAGCAATCCTGAGAAATTGCAACATAAGGAAGCCTATATAAGGACAATTGGATTTTGCAATGTTGAGATCAATGGAATACTTATTTCACAAATTTGGGTGTGTAAGAACTGGTATCAGAGGTTGGCAAAGCAGGTTGACTGGCAGCCATGGGACCTTGGTAGAAAACAGGGTCCCACGTTTGCAAATGTATGTAGCAGACCAATTCATTGGCCAGTAGCTGCATGGGCATTGCCTAAATGTTTCACAGAGGGATTATTAGTTTCAGGTAAAATTTTCTCTCTCTGGACCTGAATCTATGACTCTAAAACACAAACCCAGAAAAAGGAATCAGTATACTCAGAAAGAAAGATGTGAAAAGCATCCATTCTCCAGACAACACATGTGAGAAATAAAAACAGGCGAAGTGATTTTGTTCAGCACCATAGACTAAACTTGACTCTGGATTGAATTTTTAGAGTGAAATGTGATTAAAGGCAAACATTTAGTACTATAAAACAGAACTAGAGATGGTAATAGACATGTTTCATGTGCATATGTATGTATGAGTGTATGTGTATGCATATGTATATATGTGAATACAGATACACATGTTACATATATTTTTTAAATTTTAGTTCTCAAGGGAGGACCCCTGGATGGCACTTACAGATTGATTCAGTTTCACTTTCACTGGGGTTCAACTGATGGGCAAGGTTCTGAGCATACTGTGGATAAAAAGAAATATGCTGCTGAGGTAAGATATACTTTTTTTTTCCTAGGGAAAAATGTTTAAAAGTTGATATTTAGCATTAATTTCAAAAGCTTAATTTGTAAATTCAACTCACACCCAGTGAATCACTTCTTTTACAAAGGACCTTCACATTTGCTTTTTATAAGCTTTAATCGTGATATCATACTTAATGCTGCAAAACTTTCTCTACTGTCTCCAAGGCCACCATTTGCAAAAACTAAACAGACTCCAATTGGAGGACCCCGTTTTAACATAAATTTGGAAATAAAATGTGTGCCTTCTGTCAAAACTACGTTTCTTTGTCTTAGAGATGTTGATGAAAACACTTGCTATTACACCAAGAACCATGTGGATAATTAGAATTAAAATGAAAGGAAAGTTTTTATTTAAAATTATCCATATTTGCAATTTCTTAAGTAACCTTTACGACGAGGAAAAGACCATTGGATAAAATCCAATGCCTTTCGTTGTGTAAACCATTCACTGTGGCTTTGTCTCTTTGGCTTTAGCTTCACTTGGTTCACTGGAACACCAAATACGGGGATTTTGGGAAAGCTGCGCAGCAACCTGATGGACTGGCCGTTCTAGGTATTTTTTTGAAGGTTAGTTGATGGCCCAATTATTTTTTTCCTATTTTTAATAAAGAATGACCAGATAGAACATTTGTAACATACAGGACATTCTACAAAAGAGCTTAGGAAATGCTTTTGTCCCTGAAATGTTTTCAAGTTTATCTCCTTTCATATCTGCTAGCTGCAGTGGAGATAAAGGGCAGAAAGACAATAGGAGCTGTATTTATTCAGTACTATTTTGATATAAATATGAAGAACATAAAGAGATCAACTTGGATGACTGCTAGGTGTTTGCTTTCTTTTCATTTAACCTGAAGATAGACAGTACTATATCATGATAAAGTAAGATGAAGTTCTGGAGCGGGGAAGGACAGTGAATTTCAGGCAACAGTGGGACATAACTGTTGAGCTGCCCTCTAACCAGTGGCAAAGGAGAATGGAGAAAGGTCTGTGCTGGAGATTTATGAGCTCTGATTGATATGTTGAGGTGGAAGCTGCAGGTGTCTATGAAATCATCCAAGTACAGCAGGAAGAGGGAGATGAGAAAGCTGCCCAGGGAGCAATCCTAAGAAACTGCAAAATGTAAGGCCTTTAAGACAAGGAGAGAGATGTAAATTAAACTGCTTAAAAGGGGCCAGGCATGGTGGCTTATGCCTGTAATCCCAGCACTTTGGGATGCTAAGGCGAGAGGATAGTTTGAGGCGAGGAGCTCAAGACCAGACTGGGCAACATGGTGCAATTCCATCTCTACAAAACATTTTTAAAATTAGTTGGACATGGTGATGTACACCTGTAGTCCCAGATACTTGGAAGGCCAGGGCAGGCAGATCACTCGAGCCTAGGAGTTTGAGGTTGCAGGGAGCTATGGTCATGCCTGTGCGCTATAGGCTGGGTGACAGAGCCAAGACCCTAAAAAAAAAATGCAAGAGTCAAGAGAGATTTGGGACACTGGAATGCATAAGGAATGCCAAAGAAGAAAAGAAATTATAGAAAGAAGGGAAGACCATAGTGTAAAGTCCTACAAGGAAATCAAGGCAAGCATTTGGGTCACTTTAGTGGATGGTTTCAGGAGTACTATCTCAGTGGAAGCCAAGGCAGATTGAAGATTCAGTGAAAGTAGACCAGTCTATGGTGTCATGTCATCAAGCCAGTACTGATGGGTGTTATGTATAAAGTAGAGGATTTGGGCTCACTATTTGGATGTTTTCTAATAGAGCTACCCAAATTAAAATCAAAACTGGTACAGCACCAACTGGGTGATAGTATCTTGCCCCTTATGTTTTTCTATAGGTTGGCAGTGCTAAACCGGGCCTTCAAAAAGTTGTTGATGTGCTGGATTCCATTAAAACCAAGGTAAAGTTGAATTTTCTATCACCTCCTTGGGGTACCAATTTTCATACTCCATTGGTTTTAGAAATTTCTTTTGATCAGACTCAGCAGTGTCAATGACACATGGTGTTTGGATGAGCAGTTAATAAAGGTTAGAATGTTACTTAAATATTTAGTTAACATTTCTTTAAACAAAAGTTGATCCTAATGCTAGCGTAATTCTATGACTTGTGTTTATTTAATCTTGCTCCCCCATCATTTGAACATCCATATGTAAGAGTTAGAGAATCTTATGACTGCAAGGAGGTTCAGAGATCCTCTTGGCAAATTATTCACTCATTCATACAGCAGATATTTGTTGAATATGTACTATGTGCCAGTCACTTTGCAAACTAGTAGATATAATGGTGAACAAGATAAACAAGGCCCTGTTGCATGGAGATTTCTATTCTATGATCTCTTTGATATATATATATAGATAGATAGATAGATAGATAGATAGATATAGATATCGATTTTTTTTTTTTTTTTTGAGATGAAGTCTTGTTCTGTTACCCAGGCTGGAGTGCAGTGGCACGATATTGGCTTACTGCAATATCCACTTCCTGGGTTCAAGAGATTCTCCTGCCAGAGCCTCCCAAGTAGCTGGGATTACAGACATGCATTACCAGGTCCAGCTAACTTTTGTATTTTTAGTAGAGTTGGGGTTTCACCATGTTGGCCAGGCTGGTCTCAAACTCCCAACCTCATGTGATATACCTGCCTTGGCCTCCCAAAGTTCTGGGATTACAGGACTGAGCCACTGTGCCTGGCCTGACCTCTTTGAATGCATCCATCTTGCATTTAAATCCTCTCTACAGCATAGTTGTGTTGAGTTCGTTGAGCATCTGTTTAAGCACTACAGTCACTTCCTGTGATGGGGAACTTATCACCAGGGGCAGCCCTGGCTTTATAAAGCTGATCCTCACATTGAAGAAGCTTTTATCCTCTGAAATGCTCACCTACACCCCTGGCTTGAGCCCTTTGAATTCATAGAATAAACCTGATCTCTCTTCCAATAACCCTACCCTCTCTCTACTCTGTTTTTTTCACCTACCCCAAGCTAATTATCTTTAGTTCTCTATAAGTATTCTCATATAATACCGTTTTTTCTCTTTGCCACCACCTTGTCATTCTTCCAGGAAATCATTTCTGTTTGCTTGAAAAATGTAATGTCCAAAAAGAAATATAGATCTTTGATTCTGATCTAGAGCAAGAAAATCACCTCCTCAGGGCTACCCTATTTCTGCTACTGCAAACTTGAAGTCGCTTCATTTTAGTGGCAGCAGTCTCACTTTAAATACTGAGTGTGATTGGTGAATGGAGAATGTAAGGGATCATTTTAGATAAAAGGCCAAGATGAAAAATGGGTATTTGAAGATAGTTGTTTTTTTTTTTTTTGCTAAGATCTGCTACATATTTTCAAGTCGAATGTCTTCTTTTCTTTTTATTTTGTTTGCCAGTGAATATAGAACCTCTCATTTAAAAAGCGTTTTTGACTCTCAGTGAGGAGTATACCTATATGTGTCTTCTGCTCTCCTGCCTTCCTCCTACTCTGTTGATATGATGGTTTGAACCTGCATATTTTCCTTGTTCTAGGGCAAGAGTGCTGACTTCACTAACTTCGATCCTCGTGGCCTCCTTCCTGAAAGCTTGGATTACTGGACCTACCCAGGCTCACTGACCACCCCTCCTCTTCTGGAAAGTGTGACCTGGATTGTGCTCAAGGAACCCATCAGTGTCAGCAGCGAGCAGGTTGGTTTTCTAATGACAAGTCTGTTTATAGGTGGAAAATTTAGTCAAGGCAGAAGACCCTGGCCTCTGGAGTGAGAGAGACTGAGATGTATTCTTTCTCCTGCTACTTCTGGCTGTGGAAATAGTGCTTTTGACGGTGCTTAGCAAAGAAATAGCATTTGGTAAATCTTTGTTGTTATTAACTATAAACTTAGTTTATTTAGTCTATAAAATTGGAGAGTCATTGTGAAGATTTGATGAGAAGGGTGTCTGCCACCTAATAAATGCCTTTTTTTTTTTGCCAGTTATGGGGAAACCGAGGCTCAGAAAAGTGAGGTTTCACGTTCAAGGTTACATAGGTATCAGTGAATTCCCAGCCTACTGCTCACTCGCATAAGAGCTTTCTGCAGTTTTATTTATATCAGAATGCATTTCTAAATCCTGACAGGTGAGGGTCGTCCCTTGGAGAATATGTATCTATTAAAACTCACTCCAGGTCACTTTAGAGGCTTAGAGCAGATGTTATTACATTTCCAGTACAGCGTAGTGTGTGATGTTCAGGTGATTAATACGGCTTCTAAGTCACTGATGAGTATCCACCAAAGTGGATGCAAATTAATTTTTCCTAGACTTGTCTCTTAGCACACAGTTGAAATGTAGAAAGTGAACATTCCTTAGGATTCAAAAGAGGTTGGATTCTGAATAATTTAAGGAGAGCATTAGGAGCCAACAGTCTTGAAAATGGTAACTATGTGAGTAGTGGTAGTGTGATTTAAACCTACAAAAATGCTGAATAATAGAGGGTTAGAGCTGCAATGTGCAATAGAGATCGTGTTGCCCAACTTTCTCATTTCACTGGCTCGAATCACATTGATCAACAGTCTGAGATGCAAGAAAATTGAAGTGTTTTCCATTCAGCTACCTTGGGACAGAACTGGGTCTGGGAGCAAGGATTCTATTCCTGTGTCCTCCTTTAGAAAATGAGCTTATGAGTACTAAAGATACTACACGTCTTTCTTTAAAGGAAATCTGTATCTAACTGGAAAATTCCTTGTAGTATATAAAGGTGGGTCTAAAAAATAGCATGCTTGTCTGGCATGTCACTTGAAGATTGACCTTATAGTGATAACATATTTGAGCAAGCTTCTTGAAGTTGTAGCATAAGGAAAGATTGTAATGCCACTTCTTTTCATAGATGCAGTGTTTACGTTATAATTTAAAACGTGGATTTTTTTTTCTTCTTTCACTGAGAGCAATCCAACTTTAAAGGAATAGTCTGATATTTAAAGCCATTATAACAAATGGATTTATGGTGTATACTCACCCACAGGCCGAAATACACATATAGATAAGGGCAGTTGAACCTACTGCATTAATCCCTGTGACCTGAGTTTGCTCATTAAAGTTGAAAGTTGTATTAAACTAGTAACGTTAATTGCATATATTAGCAAAATACCAATAGGGCTGTTTTTCATGTCCTGTAACATGGAGTCTGGAGGGAGAGTCATGCTCAGCTCAGGAAGTAAGGGCTCTAGGTCCTCCTCTATCTGATTCCCTTGACTTGGCCCTGCACATTGATGAATTCATCCTCAAGCTGGTTGCAATAGCATTTCGATCATCACATCTATACACAATCACCTCTCAAGGAGGAAATGAATACCTCTTGCACTGGCTCCCTAGAAGCAGAGAATCTTTTCCCTGAAGGCCCCTAGCAAACCTTTCACTTCTCACTGGCTAGAATTGCGTTTCTTGCTCAGTCCCTAGCCAGTCCCTAGGGAATGTGATCACCACAGTCAGTTAAGACCCACAGATTTACCCCCATAAGGCTTACAGGAAGAGGGGCAGGGGGGGAAAGGGTCATGGATTTTAGGTAAGCAATATAAATGGGTCTGCTAATTCTGCTACCTTTATTTTCTATACTCAGGTTCTGCCTCTGTGATGCTAAAGTAATGAGTCAAGTTGACTAATGTGATAGTGTAATTTAACTGGTGCAGTGAGGAACAGAAATCAGTTTTACTGGTTTGATCAAAACTTTGACCTGATTGTACTTTATGTACAAACTCTCATTCAGATTGCTGTAATTCTGTTGTAATAAATCAACCCTGTATGTCCTTAGAATGCTTCCTTGCATTCAGTATCCATAGCTTGCATGTTGTAATATATGTGAATGGAAGGTGGCTTTATGGGAATGATTGAGGGACTATTACTGTACAAAAGAGATCAGGTTAAAGGCTATTGATTTATGGGCTGCTATATTACTGCCCAAACCACCCTTTTTCATTTGAATCAAGTCTTGGCTAGAGGGAGGAGAGTAGCACTTTTTGAGTTCCTTGAAGAAGTAGGAGACTGTTTAAGGGCTGCCTTTATCTCAGTGGTGGCCAGTAAAATCAACCAGTCACAAGGGGTTCTAATGTTAATTACATATATTGGCAAAATACAAGTAGGGCTATGTGGGGTGACGAGCACTCACAGTAGTTTACTAAAATGGTATTTTTAAAACATAGGAAAGTAGAATGATTGAGTGCAAATCCATAGCCTGAGGTAAATTGAACTAGTTAAGGCAAATCAGCCTGGGCAAATTCATTTCTGTGTTTTTGTGTATTTGGAGATACCAGCTCGTCCCTCAGCCCATACAGCCTGCAGGTCCTGACCACTTGATCCAATGGTACAGATGCTGTAGTTTGTCTTCCCTGAGGCAGAAAACAAAGCTTTAATATGGAACTAAAATTTTTATTATTTTAGATCTAAAGGTATGATTTTATAGACTTTTGACATTAGATTTTAAAATTCAAAGCTCACTGAAAATTTTCTTTAAATACGACCCCCACAGATTTCTGTGTTTTGTATAAATTAGCTTGTTAAAGCATGAATACATAATCTATATGTGATTATGTATTTATTAGGAATCAAATTGAATTTTGGTCACTGATGCAACTATACTGTGAATGTGGGGGAATGTATTTTTTGTTTATTTTTGTTTCTGTTTTTTGAGACAGAATCTCGCTCTGTTGCCTAGGCTGGAGTGCAGTGGTGCAATCTCAGTTTTTGCAACCTCTGCCTCCAGGGTTTAAATGATTCTCATGTCCTACCCTCCCAAGTAGCTGGATTACAGGCGTGCCACCACACCCGGCTACATTTTTTGTATTTTTTTTTTTTTTTTTAGTAGAGACAGGGTTTCCCCTTGTTGGCCAGGCTGGTCTCAAACTACTGACCTCAGGTGATCCACCTGCCTCAGCTTTTCAAAGTGCTGGGATTACAGGCATGAGCCACTGCACCTGGCACGGGAATGTATTGAAAGATGTAACATGAGCATATAATTTTATACTATTGTGAAACTTGAATTATCAATGTTTTATTGTGTCTTTTAGATATTGAAATTCCGTAAACTTAACTTCAGTGGGGAGGGTGAACCTGAAGAACTGATGGTGGACAACTGGCGCCCGGCTCAGCCATTGAAGAACAGACAAATCAAGGCTTCCTTCAAATAAGATGGTCCCGTAGCCTGTATCCAAATAATAAATCTTCGGGTGTTTCCCTTTAGCTAAGCACAGATCTACCTTGCTGATTTGGACCCTGGTTGCTTTGTGTCTGGTTTTCTAGAATTTTCATCTCTCATCTGATAGGCTTACTAATAAAATGTGAAGAGCTAGACCAATTGTCATGCTTGACACAACTGCTGTGGCTGGTTGGTGCTTTGTTTAAGGTAGCAGTCTTTCTGTAACAGAATACAGGGTATGGAATAGGAATAAAGTACCTTGACTTTGTTCACAGCATGTAGGGTAATGAGCATTCACAATTGTTCGCTCACATACTACTTTTAAAACATAGGAAAGTAGAATGATTGAGTGCAAATCCATAGCATAAGAAATTGAGCTAGTTAAGGCAAATCAGGTAAAATAGTCATGATTCTATGTAATATAAACCAGAAAAAATAAATGTTCATGATTCCAAGATGTTATATTAAAGAAAAACTTTAAAAATTATTATGTATTTATAGCAAAGTTATCTTAAATATGAATTATGTTGTAATTTAGTGACTTTTGAACTACAGAGATGTAAATGAAATATTATCTGTAAAAATTGTTATAGAGTTGTGATACAGAGTATATTTCCATTCAGATAATATATCATAACAATAAATATTGTATTTTAGATATATTCTCTAATAAAATTCAGAATTCGATTCTGGGTTATTTTATTGTGTACTGAGTGACGGGTAATGCAGTAAGGGAGGAGCAAATGCCTACTTTTACAATTTATAATAATTCCTTATTAGTAATAGCCATCATAATTGGCTTGCTCATAATTGAAGAAGTCTCCATAAAAGGAAAAACTCTGAGGTCATTTACTTAATATGCCAAGTACTGTTTTAAGTGCTTTCTGAGCATTCATGTGATCTTCATGACAGTCCTGTGAAGATGAATCCTGCAAGAGTAATGATGACATTAAAAGTAGTGAGGTAGAGAAGGGGGAGGAGTGTACACACTGAAGCATATAAGCCCCTTGGGAATAAAATAAATAAAAGTTCATTTTATTCAAAAAGGGAATTCAAGTGATACCCAAAAGTGAAAGAATAATTTGAATTTTAAAAAGATAAATTAAGCTGAGCATGGTGGTTCAGTCCTGTAATCCCAGTACTTTGGGAGGCTGAGGCAGGAATTTGCTTGAGGCCAGGAATTTGAGACCAGCCTAGGCCACGTAGCAAGGCCTCTACAAAAAATGTAAAAATTATTCGAGCGTGGTGGTGCCTACCTGCAGTTCTAGCTACTTGGGAATCTGGGGCAGAAGGATCACTTGAGCCTCAGTGTAAGTATTGAGTTGTGAGGTACTATTCTATTCATAATGCTATTTGCTGCCCTTTTGTTTTTTCATTGTGTAATTCATTTGTAGCTATTGTGAGATTTATGCTTTAAGGATATTCTATTTTTGTGTATTTTTAAGGATTTGTTTCATGATTTAGAGCTCCTTTTAGCAGTTCTTTCAGATTTCTCTTCTTCCTGAAGAGCATCAGTTATTCTTAGGTTTGGATGTTCAACAATCTCAAGCTTCTTGGAGGTTTTGTTCATTTTTAAAAATTACTTTGTCTTTGCTGGATTGGGCTTATTGGAAAGCCTCGTCTTCAAGCTCTGAAGTTCTTTCTTCTGCTTGTTTGATTCTACTGCTGAGACTTTTCAGTGCCTTTTGCATTTCTCTAAGTGTGTCCTTGATTTCCAGGAGTTGTGATTGTTTTTTATTTATGCTGTCTTTTTCACTGAAGAATTTTCCTTTCATATCCTGTACCATGTTTCTGATTTCTTTAAGTTGGACTTCACCTTTCTCTGGTGCCTCCTTGATTAACTTAATAATCAACTTTCTGAATTCTCTTTCTACCAGTTTGGAGATTTTGTCTTGGTTTGGATCCATTGCTGGTGATCCGGTATGATCTTTTGGGGGTGTTAAAGATTATTGTTTTGTTCTTTTGTTCTGTTACCGGAATTGTTTCGGTGGTTCCTTCTCATTGGGTAGACTATATCAGAGGGAAGACCTGGGATTCAAATGCTGCTATTCAGATTCTTTTGTCCCATGGGGTGCTCCCTTGATGTGGTATTCTTCCCCTTTCCCTAAAACTGGAGCTTCTTGAGAGCTGAACTGCAGTGACCATTTTTACTTTTCTGGGTCTAGCCACCCAGAGGAGCTACCGGGCTCTGGGCTGGCACTGGTGAGTGTCTGGGAAGAGTCCTGTGATGTGATCTGTCTTCAGGTCTTGCAGCCATGGATACCAGCACCTGTTCCAGTGGAGGTAGCAGGGGAGTGTGCTGGACTCTGTGAGGGCCCCTTGTTGTATTTTGGTTTAGTGCACTGGTTTTGTATTGGTTGGCCTCCAGCCAAGAGGTAGCACTTTCAGGGCATCAGCTGCAATCCTGTAGGGATGATGCAAACATGCCCTAGGGACATACGATTAAGTATTCGGGTTTCTTAGGCAGTGGACAGGACCATAGAGCTTCCAAGAGATTATGATCTTTGTCTTCAGTTAACAGGGTGGGCAGAGAAATACCATCAGGTGGGGGCAGGGATAGGCATGTATGAGCTCAACTCTTCTTGGGCAGGGCTTGCTGTAGCTGCTATGGGGGATGAGGGTGTGGTTCCCAGGCCAACGGAGTTATATTCTCAGGGTGATTATGGCTGCCACTTCTGAGTCATACAGTTCATCAGGGAAGTGGGGGAAAGCTGTCAGTCACAGGCCTTACCAGGCCCCCACACAGACCACAGTCCTAAAGGCCAGTTTCACCCCCACCATGCCCCTCCAGCAGCACCAAGTCTATTTCCAGGCAGCCAGTGACCAGGGCTGAGAACTTGCTCCAGACCACAGGCCTCACTGTTGAGAAAGAAAGCAGACTCACAGTTTTTCAGTGTCTCAGGGAGGCTTCAGTGGTGGTCCAGTTCCTTCAGAGGCTCTGTGAATTCTCTTGGCTTTCCTGGTATAGTTCCTGCAGTAGTTCTTGGAGCAAAAGTTCAAGATGTGAGTCTCCACAGGCTGGTCTGTTCTTTTCAGCAGGAAATGCAAGCTAGTTCTGCCTCCTAACCGCCATTTTTTTTTTTTTTTTTTTTTTTTTTGAGACAGAGTCTTTCTCTGTCGCCCAGGCTGGAGTGTGGTGATGCCACCTCGGCTCATGCAACATCTGCTTCCCGGGTGCAAGAAATTCTGCCTCAGTCTCCCGAGTATCTGGGAATACAGGCACAAGCCACCATGCCTGGCTAATCTGTGTGTGTGTGTGTGTGTGTGTGTGTGTGTGTGTGTGTGTGTGTGTTTTTCAGTAGAGATGGGGTTTCGCCATTTTGGCCAGGCTGGTCTCAAACCCCTGACTTCAGGTGATCTGCCCACCTCAGTCTCCCAAGGTGCTGGGATTACAGGCATGAGCCACCCTGCCTGGCCCTATCCACCATCTTAATAAAAAAAATGCATCATTACTTTTCATCTGGTGTCTTTAACAATTTGTTTTATGAAATAAAACCAAAAAGAACTCTGAAGGTTCTGATACCGAAAGGTTCTTGTTCCACAAATAGGACAGTGCACAATTTCCTCGTGTAGGAAACAGAGATGGGGCAGAGGTGGTCCCTCTGTGGGACTTGTGGGAGAATCTCAACCATTGGCTTCCAGCTGCATGCAGTACCCCTAATGGAGTTACTTCCATAGAACAGCATGGCCCCCCACCAGCAAGGATCTGTTTTTCAAGTATAGATGCCCAGAAAATGGTTTAGGAACAGAAGGGGCCCTCAGTTAACAGGGGCCTGCAGGTGCAAGTGGAGAGAGTGAGTGCAGCACAGTCCTGGGCACCCGCACACTCCAAGCCAGGACCCAGATATTGAAGACATCTTCCACATACCTTTGGTCTTTGGAAGAAAGATTGTCCCTGATGTTTTCAGAGAAGTATTTTTTCCTTCTCTTAGAATAATGATTTTAACATGTTTGGCAGAGGGCAACCTGCCCTCTCAGAAGTGGTCTATTGCTCAGTCATTGGACTATCATTTATTTCCTCTTTTCACTCCACCTGAGTTTCTACTTTCCAGAGAATTCAAGTCCGCATGCCCAGAAAGTTCTGGCAGGCACAGTGATGTCTTTCAGCCTATAGAAATGTGCACAGGACATGTGTAGAATTTCGAATTTTTTTTTTTTTTTGGTTTGTGGGTATATGTACACATAGATACACAAATGAAGGTGTGTTTATGATGTGTAAGGTATTTTATACACGGCTACCTTGATGAGCCACCTGGTTCCTTCAGGAGCCAATACTGAAGCAGGATTTACTGTTTCAAATCTTCCTACATGAACTTATAGCCATATATCATCAAAAATAGAAAATTCAAGTATTGTAGAACAATGTAGGCTACAGTTGTCATAAAAAAGAAGTGAGGTTTTGTATCACACAGTGTGCAGCATTTCATGGCCCAAATCCCCATTCACCATCTCTCTCCTTCCCCCCTCAAGGACTCTGAATGTCCCTGGCTGCAGATCCCTGTCTCTGGAGCCTCCCTTGGGCCTCATTTTCTTCTCTATTTCTGACGCAGAGCAATTTACTTCCACCTTCTCTGCCTCCTCCCTCCCAATACACACATACACTCTCAAATGTACACTGAGAAACTCATGCACATGTGAATGCACACACACAGGTGTACATACACATACCTATCTCTTGTTACTGTACCACATTTAGGCATGCTAAAGGATAGCAAAGGAAATTTCCTCCAGTTTCAAAGTCTCTCCATAAAGTGGGCAGGATAATTACAAATATTTATTTTTCTTGACAGCAATCATTTTTGTATTATCTCCCATAGTCTCAGCAAAATAAACGTTATTCCCATTTTTTTTTTTTTTGAGATGAAGTTTGCCCAGGCTGGAGTGTAATGGCAAGATTTTGGCTCACCACAACATCTGCCTCTCGGGTTCAAGCCATTCTCCTGCGTTAGTGTCCCTAGTAGCTAGGATTACAGGCATGCACCACTGCTTTTTTATTTTTAGTAGAAACGGGGTTTCTCCATGTTTGTCAGACTGGTCTCAAACTCCCAACCTCAGGTTATCTGCTCGCCTTGGCCTCCCAAAGTGCTGGGATCACAGGTGTGAGCCACCACCCCGGCCAACATTCTTCCCATCTTATGAATGGAGACTTGGGGGCTCAAAGAGGATAGCAAGTATGCCCCGATCCTATAGCGAATGAGGCAAAAAGGAGATGTGAGCCCAAGCTTTAGTGTTCACGTCCTCTCCGAAACGCCACATGGATGACACTTGATGGCCCAGGGCGTATGTATCAAACCATCCCCCCACTCCCGCCCTTTCGATTAACTGCTGGTTTTGGTGGCCAAACTATAAGGAATAAGGCTCACCAAGCTGGGTCAGCCAGCCTTGTAAGGAGAATATGACAAAGTGAACTGGGCCAGGCTTTGCCCACCACCTGGCTCAGGCAGAGGTTCAACTAGACTTCAGTAGCACACTGAATGAATAGACAAATATGTTTTACATTCAAGTGTAATGAGAAGCACTCTGGAGAGGGATGTTGGTGATGATTGTACAGCCGTGTGAATGTACTTAATACCACCGGACTGAAATTTAAAAATGGTTAAAATGGTAAATTGTATGTTAAATGCATTTTATCACAAATTTTGAAAAAGTCAAATGTAAATGTAATTTACTTTATATTATTGAATGTT